CATGAGAATACGCTGTTGATGACGAATGTTTTGCTGATCTAATTGCAACATATGTCGGGCCTGAGTAGCTGACTGCTGCTCGATTCTCCACTTCGTGCCCCATAGATTTTATCCCAGCATAAACTGATGGGATGAGTTTGTGGGAGGGAGCAACAACCCAATCGTGGTCAGGGAGAGTGACGCGATATTCCATGTGCATGAGCAATGGTGTTTGATTCTTCGCTGCAGTGATACCAATCGGAACTCGATCTTTATCGTCTTGACTGATGAAAAAAACTTCACTTGGTCCTAGGACTGAAGCTAAATCTTCTAAATGATGAATGGTTGCTGCTGCAAATTTTCCATCCATATGCTTTTTATGAGTTTCATTACGTGATCTAGTAAGTTTCACTGGTATAGTTTTTATGTGACGTTTTCCTTCTCGAGAATCAGCTCTTCGTGGAATGAAGCGTAAATATACACCACTCCGACTGATGTTGAACCTATAGTCATTTTTCAATTCATCAGTTAGATCATCGAGTGTTTTTACGCTTCTCACACATTCGGTTCGACGTCAGTCATCAGTACCACTGCCATAAGTAGCAATTTCCATAATTAGTTTCAAAATCTCAGGTTGATCATCAGTAATACTTGGACGACCTGATTTATCTCTCACGTGCAGCTTGGATTTCATCCCTGGAAACTCTTCATACAATTCATTCATTCGCCTCTTGTTGTTTGCTCTGAACTTGCTTGATCGCTGCTGACTTTGTTGTAACTCCCCTAGCTTTTTCTCTTTTTCTTGCAATTTCTTCTTTTTCTCTTGTAGAATTTGAAATTGTTCAGTAGACAGCAAATCAGCATCACGTCTCAGAGTCAATCCAACCACTTCCTGTCGAAGAACTTGAATTTCATTTTGGATTTTTGTTTGAGCAGGTGTACTGTATTTTTTCGACGTATTGCTCTCGTGAGGCACATCAGAAGTTGAATTGTCAACATTTTGTTTGCTTTTCTCATTTTCAATGTCATCTCGTGGATTATTGAATCGATTTTTGTTCTGATTGGAAGTGGAAGGAGTAGATATGCTATCGATATTCTTTGCAGCAGGCTGAAAAAACAATTAAAATTGTTATTCAATTGTAATTTCCAGTAAATTCATATTTCAGATT